TAGCTAAGGGTTTAAGTTATCTTCACGAAAGCGGAATGATTCACCGAGACTTGCACCCTGGAAATGTATTGAACTTATATTATGATGAACATACTTTTAGTTATATCACTGACCTTGGTTTATGCCAGCCTGTTAATTCACAGGGAAGCGAAGAAGTTTTTGGAGTATTGCCCTACGTAGCTCCGGAAATATTAAAAGGTGAAAAATACACCCCAGCTGCTGACATTTATTCTTTTGGTATAATTGCTTGCGAATGGATTATTGGATTGCCTCCTTATTATGATGTGGCTCACGACAATGACTTGGCCTTGAAAATATGTCTCGGACTTCGTCCTGACTTGAATAGTGCAGTGGCTCCCCAATTACTTAAAGATTTAATTACGAAATGTCTGGATGCTAATCCTTTGCATCGCCCTACTGCTAAAAAATTATATGAGAATCTGGAAAAGTGGGTGGACGAAACACGCAAAGGTATTTTTCATGGCTGATGGCTCGAAGGATTTTATCGCCAATACGAAGAATTAAAAAAAGCATGAAAATCTAACAATACTTCTGTTATATCTCGATCTCATCCTTCAGCTACTTACACTAGCCGTTTGTTAGATTTCAAAAACCTTCCTGAACCCCAAAATAGTAAAGCGATTAATGAACAATTTTGAAACTCCCGAGAGTTGCCGGAAATGCAGGGTTCTCAATCAATAGGAGATATCAGCATTCCCTTAACTGAGCCAATGGAAAAGCTCAATATTCAAGATAATTCTCAACAAGAAACTTCCCTCCAAGCCCAAATCCAAATTCCTCCTAAATAAAAGCAATCATGCCATCAGAAATCGAAATTTCACTTTCGTGAATAAAAAATACAAAATAAACCCGTAAGTGCCGGTCTTTTTCCAGAATTGGTTCTAAATAAAGAAATAAAACGATTCCGACCTCATTGCGTTACGGTCTTAGCCAAAACTATCACAAACGATTATGATGAGATTCATAGAAAAATTGTTTCTTTTGGCTGGCTTTGATTTGTTTTTTTGTTGCCATTTCGTCTCTTTCTAGTTTTCACTGCTCGAGAGCAGTAATGGTTTCCTGACTATATTGTTGACGATTGCTTTTTAACAATTCCGTAAAAGCCTTCCAAAAACCATAGCATTTATCGTTCTCATCTTTTCCCTGAAACTTGTAAGGATCTAAAGTAACTTGCAATTTAGCCAATTGATTA